CTTCATTATGAATGATTTGGCATATTCCAAAAACCGAAAGGTCCACTGATTAATCTCAGATAAGAAAGTATAATACATACTCCAAGTATTGAAATACACGCCATCGTGTTGGGATTCAATATTTCGACATTAATTATGTCATCATCAGGAATCATCATCATCATCATCAATCATCATCAGGAATTCCTGATGATGACATAATTAATGTCGAAATATTGAATCCCAACACGATGGCGTGTATTTCAATACTTGGAGTATGTATTATACTTTCTTGTACTGTATGTGTTAGCCGGCTTGCTAAAGCGAACCCTTGAGGCACATATATATGGACGTTTATATTGAATACTCAAAAGGTTCAATCAGTTGGGACTTGACATCAAGAAATAAACCTCTAGTGTGCATGTCAAGGATTAAAGCCCGGTTTCCTGTCGACGAAAAAGTCAGAATTTCTTACGATTCATACGATTCTTGACTTTTCAAACCTCAAGCTGAAATTCCTGCGCTAACATTGTTACACGCTCCTAGCATCAAGTTAAATATTGTCATTGCGATTGCGATTATCTGTTAAAAATTAACCCGCGAAATTTGCAATTTTTGCGGCTTTACCATCAGCTCGCGCCTTTCTCATTACACCTATTTCTGCTTCCAAGAGCAGTGGTGTGCAACAATGGTGGTCAGCAGGATGCGTATCCTTCTTGCAAAGAAGCTTCTTTGTTTTCGCATGTTAAAAAGAAGAAGACAAACAGAGCAGAAGAAAAGAACGCATGGATTCCAGATAAGAAAAAGATAAAAAAAAACATGACAATCTGAAGAGATTAACAAAAGGTACAAATAAATGTCTTAATTACCCCTGCCTTAATACCTAATTAAACATTTTAAAAATACAAATGCCAAAGTTCAAACAAATTTAAAAAATGAAAAATAAATTGAAAAAAAAAAGAAACAAAACAAAAGCATTATTAAAGTAGTCTAGTACCAGCGCACAATTGAATAGCTTATCTCTCTCTGTTTTGGCATTGGCTATATCAGTGTCAGTGTACAGTGAATTGTAATGCTTATTGGCTACAGTACCACAACAACCCAGATTCACATTTCGTCTTTGCTGGACCCGATAATTAGTGCGGTAAAACATTAAAGAGATGCAGATCTTATTTTGGTTCAACTATCAAGTCATTGTTTTGGATTTGAAGCAACTGAAAATCATAGCTCATGTATAACAGGTTAAAATTATGTTCAACTTTGCAATAAGTACAAACAGAAGTTCAAAAGAATTATAAGGCCTAGGCCTTCTCTAAAAATAAAATATCACTGTCCATTCAAATTTGAAAGAAATTTGGGCGAGGCGCCCTTATTACTAGGCCTACTAGCAAAAAAAAAACCAAAAAAACTACAGTACAAATGATAAAATCGTATGGATCTAGCCCTATTTATTATACAGTACATAAGTGTCCTTTTTTCCAACCGTTTATTAGCCTAGATTATAATTAGAACGACTCAAACTTAATGAAATATCAATTTTAAGTCAGTTGTGAGGCCATATTCATATTGAATACTCAAAAGGTTCAATCAGTTGGGACTGGTAGAAGTGGTTGGCGCATCGGTTGTGGTTTGGACTCCCAACCTCGAGGTCGGGTGTTCAAAACTCTCACTTGTGTCCTTGGGCAAGGCACTTTATCTACGGTTGTCTCTCTCCACCCAGGAGTAAAAGTGGGTACCTGGTAGGTTCAAACACAGCCTGCGCTGAATACAGCTGCAACATTATGGAATTCCCCTATGGGGCCTGAGTGTGTGTTCCATATGTGCTTGATCCAGTGATCCTGGGTAAAAATGTTCAGCGCATAGAGAAGTTTGATATATAAGTATACAATAATAATAATAATAATAATTGACATCAAGGGACAAACCTCTAGTGTGCATGTCAATGATTAAGGCCCTTGTTTCCTGTCGCCGAAAACGTCAGAATTTCTTACGAATCATACGATTCTTACGACTGTTACGAGAAGTTGGGCAAAATCAGCCACATCTTGATCGTATTGAGCCGCAGACAAAATAAGCCGGTAACAATCCTTACAATTTTATAAGTACATGGTCAATAAATACCGAAATACATATTCCATTTTCAATTTTCGCTTGCCATACGTTTCTTATGAAAAGTTGACTTGGAGTCAAATTTGCATAAGAATCATTAACAACGTAATGTAAGCAAGTTCATTCAAGGACATTCGACAAAAATGCGGTTTCCTGTCGATCTGTGATAAATCGACGTTTCAGACAGATATTCAACTCGTCAGTTTCCTGTCGAGCATTACGTTACGACGATTTTGCTTTGTGTTACATCGATTTCACAACGCATTAGTTGCAATCGGTTTCCTGTTAAATCGCATTTTGTTACGATAAAAACAACGTAGTCCTAAACAAATCTGCCTTTTAACGTCGACAGGAAACCTTGCTTAAGGAAGGACAACAAAAACAGGATTGCTCAATGGAGGCCTACAATAAATGTGAATGTAACCTCTTCTTGAATATGCATCATAAAGTTAAGTGTATCACCAGTGCAAAAACAATGCCTAATCTGGACGTGTGTGTGTCTACTTACTATTTGTCGAACATAATCCTGTGATGATGTTGTCCACCAGCGTTGCCACGACCTCCTGGATGCTTTCGGTGTTTACCGATACGCCCATGTCCGTGACTAACATGGCCTCGCAACTTTCGGGTCTTTTTTAGCTTGGTGGTCTAGAATTAAAATGAATATCCATCCTTTTTAGCAACAGAGTAGTTGTAAGGGTATCCCCCTAGCCCTATGTATCATGGTCATAGTATTTATACACTTTATCAACGGTACTGTGATTTGGTGTGAAATTTTAAACTAATTATAAATATCATAAAATATTGCTCAAAATATTGAAAATAATGACACAACGATACAATCTTAAAACAAAATATAAACTTCAATCAGAAATAAGAGCGATTTTAGTCGATTTTATCCTATCTCTAAAACAACGTACCATCTCGCAATTCGGCCAAAATGAAAAGGTCAATTTTAAGGTCAAAGGAATTAATTTGATTTTTATTGATATTTTTTATTCATAAATATTCTGTGATATAATATAATCTATATAACAAATATCATATTTATCATTTCGGAAATTATTTTTGTGCAATTTATAGACATTTGTATATATTCTAATTTTCGATATTTTTATCGTTGTTTTTATGTCAAAGTTTCAAAATGGCGGGGGTTAGGCGGGTTTGATTGTTGTCTGAAATCGCTTGTGCTGTAATAAATGAGTATTTACTTGATTTGCAATGCATTACTTACCATATTCCTTATAATTATTGCTGATACATTCACATAATTTGTTTCTAAGATGGATAATTTAAATAATCCGTCTTGTCCAGTTTGCATGAAAGATTTAGCAACCAGACAACCGAAGTTGATGCCATGTCTTCACACAGTCTGCAAGGCTTGTATTCTCGTTAATCCAGAGACCGCAAGTAAGTAACCCGCTAGGCTAGGCTAGGCGCGGCAGGATAGTTTGGCCTACTAGTAGTAGAGCGCCTGCGATTAATTCACCCAACGTTTTCATAAGCTGTTAACTGTCACAAACACAGATTGTTACTTTTTTTTAGGTTATTATATCAAGCATGTACTAGGGCCTAGGCCTAGTCTAGTAGTAGGTAGAAAGGAGGCTACCTAAAAAAAAGAGACCAAAGCCTAGGGCCTAGCTAGCTAGCAAGTCCTAACCCTAGCCTAGGCCCTACACTACAGTAGGCCTAGGTATGGGCCTACAGTAGCCTGTAGGTGTAGGGCCCTACTTGCTAGGCCTAATCATAAATCCATAATAATATCCATTTTATTGGAAGTGGATATATTTACGTCACCGTAAACAAATCAGTAAGTGATATATTTAGGGCAAATAGAAAAATTTATTATTAGATTATCACGCCTGTCTGCGTCAAAAATTCGAGAAATATTGATGCGGGAATATAACAAAATTTTTTTGCCGCATTCATTATTTCAACAGCATAAAAATATCAACGCCGTGGCTAGAGATACGGTACCTTATCGGAACTTTCCAATGCTAAAGGTAGGTAAATGATATTACGTCATGATTAGCCAATAGAAATGACCGACTCGATTTTGGCTTTTTTGCAAATTCAACGTCGCGATCATGAGAAACGTGGCGCGAACAGTTACGATCAAATTTATGTCATAAAAATATAGGCCCATTTCATGTATTTCGATTAGGGCTTATCACAATGTTTGGGTTAAAAATCCTTCCTGTTATTCTTGCATATTTTATGGTCTACCATAGAGAATGGTCTACTAAGGCTAGGCTTAGGTCTAGGGCCTAGCCCGAATACCCGCCTTGGGCCCAGGGGCATACTTATACTATAGGCGTACTACTAGGCTAGGCTTAGGTGGTTTTCATTGGTAGCTATTGGCTTAGGCCTGGCTTCTACTATAAAAATAGTTAATTCTCGCTTGATGTCGCCAAATCTAGCAAAACTGCTATCCTTTTTATTTGCTATAGGGCCTTGGGCTGCAGAATATTAATCAGAATACAAACGAACAAATCTTCGATCGTTGCTAAAGCAAAATAGAACAGTGTTCTATTTTCTCTGCTTGAATGAACTGAAATATAGTCTTTGTTACTTCTTAATTCTTCCTCTATGACAAAAATATTTAATTTTCTTAGAAAAAATAAAATACCTAAGGATTTGAACGGAATACCCAAGAACCCAAGACCAAGTCAAAATACCCAAGATCTTGGGTAAATACCCAAGCAGTGGTCACGCTGAAACACACACTCACTACTCTTGCAGCAGCAGTGCACTGAATGATGTCATGCATGAATCAGCGTTTCTATTGGCTAATCATGACGTAATATCATTTACCGTACCTTTAGCAATCGGAAGTTCCAATACGGCACCATATCTCTAGCCACTGCGAAAATATCAATGCAATTTTGTGAATTCAAATACATTTCCTTTAAAAAACTATAAAATTAAACCAGTTTTTATACAATATTTACTATTACAGTACAGACCAAATATAAACTGTCCCTCCCTCATCGATAAAAACAAAAGCGAAATAATAATCTCATTATTTTTTCTAAATAAATTCGTAAATAAATTCGTAAATGAATTCGAGTCAACTCGGTCCCAGTCAACTCCGCCCCAAGTCAACTCCGCCCCATTTCAACTCCGCCCCAAGTCAACTTGGCCCCATGTCAGTTCGGCCTCATGTCACTGTCAGCTCGGCTTGAAGAAGTCAACTCGGTCCGAAGAAGTCAACTCGGTCCGAAGAAGTCAACTTGGCCCGAAGAAGTCAACTCGGTCCGAAGAAGTCAACTCGGTCCGAAGAAGTCAACTCGGTCCGAAGAAGTCAACTCGGCCCGAAGAAGTCAACTTGGCCCGAAGAAGTCAACTTGGCCCGAAGAAGTCAACTTGGCCCGAAGAAGTCAACTCGGTCCGAAGAAGTCAACTCGGACCTAAATTTATGTGTACCTGTATTAGAGATTTTAGAATCCTATACAAACATTAATTGATAAAAATATTAGTATTTAATATGACTATGAATAATTATTATTGTCGTTATTATGTCTCTATTAACATTACCAGTAGTTATAATAATAAGTATTGTTTATTGATATCATCTTATGATTTAAATATTAATGCAGTAGGTATGTAATTGCTATGTGGATATAAAGAATAATGTGCAGTATGTGATTAAATATATATTAAGTACAGGGGCTTATGTAGCAAAATAGGCTCGAGTTTGCAATTCATGTTAATTTATGGCAACAATGTTTTTCCGACTCAGAATTTTATACTGAACAAGAAAAACGTTGGTGCCCATTTTTTCTCGAGAAGGTTAACTGGCCGCCATCTTGGAAAACAAGATGGCGGACGCATCTGGTCAAACATAGTATTATCTGGTATCATTGGAAAGGAAATCATGCACTGAACATTTTTTCCCATTACACTAATATGAAGAAATGCATAGAAACGGAGATATTCGCCATTAAACACGTCATTGTCGGCTGCCCTCTATTGGTAAATATTTCATTTTTATTGTTGTTTCTAGGAAGTTGGCTGGTTTTCTTGGTTCTAATACAGATATTTTGTAGTCTTCTGTTTGTAACTAATTTGATACATTGATAAACAAATTTCGTTTGTATTTTTGAGTATTTTTTTCAATAAACAATGTAAATATCCATATTATCTGTTCACTGCAGTGACAGTTTCCTATCAATATTTGTTTAAGTGCATGTTAATACAGCTGCAATATCATGTTATTTTCCAGTCTCGGCAAAAACAAAATCGTAAAGCAGACCGCTTGATTATCAGAGCAATTGTTGTAAATACCATAAAACTTTTTATGTAGAAGTTTTGAAAATTGAGAATATCTCACACCAGAAACCATCTCAGTACTTGTGAATCCGGATTTTGGGGGTTACAACAAAAAAGGTGACAATTTCTTGATATTGACCATAGGTCTAAATAATAATTGTAGATTATGGACCCTCCTACAGTAATAACAGGCACATTTCATTTTAATTTTTACAAATACAATTAAATTTCTCTGCTCTATTAATGTCTAATTTTTGGAACTAAACAAAATCAAAGGATGATGAAATAACAGGCTTCATCCATCTTGGTACGACAGGCACAATTTCGCTGGAACAATATCGTTTGACAAACCTAGCTGAAACTACTCTCCGAATCTAAAAAAAAATCTGCCTACAAAAAGTGGGCACCTAGTAATACATGGGTTCCAAGTTGGAAGAAGTCATTTCCGGGAGATCTGTGGTGATGGGTCGAAGGGGCAGCAAAGGACTTTCATAGATGGAGGGTGTGAACCACATCAGCCCCACCATGGTTGGAGCTGAAGAAAATATTTATGATAGTGACACGTTTAGATGGCCGGAAATGGGCCCTCTCAGACATAAATTTGAATATAATTTTCATTTCTACCCCATTTATTTTATATTTAGGAGGCCTGGCCAGCTTTCCTCCTCCCTGTACTTTACTACTGATCTGGTTAAATATTTCTTAATACATTCTTTATATTTTGCTATAGTGATACCCATCGGTACTGACTGCCTTAGAAAATTGATAATAAAGCAGTGAAAACATGCAAAATTATAAATTTGCGGAGATTCTTGCTTGTTTGCAGGAGTGCGGGAGACCGTCTTGATTTCCCGAGACTCTTGACTTGTGAGTTCCGGAAAACTTGGGACCCCTACAGTGTCAGTGTTTTTGTCGGGGTAAATTACAAATTTCAATAATACTTTCTTGTTGCTTAAAACCACCTAGCATAGAGGAAACTGAGATGTGCTGGACACTAGGGTTTTCATAAAATAGTATTAGATCACACTCCATTTGTATTATCTGAGTTCCATACTAATTTCTAACAAATTGATATTAGGCCTACTATAGCTCTCAAAATTAGGCAGTCATGTTTCAGCTCACTTATTTTTTCTTATTTACTGTCAATTATGTAATATTATTTTAAATTCGACTCAGAATGATGATGTTGGACAGGGAATTATTTACCCACTTTTAATCTTTTATGAGAAGTGCCTATTATTTTGTGAATCCATTATCTATAATCTGACATTATTATAATTTAATGCGATTTGTTTCGAAATCCTCACAGGTAAACAAAGTGTTTAAAAAAAAACCAACAATTAGAGAAATTTCTGAATAACCCTTAAAGCATTTCTGTTTGTTTTCGAAATAGTCCCATTGAAATAATAAGAAATATACGCTACAATGACAAAATACAAAAAAAAGGCCTTATCCATAGCAGCTCTCAGTATCAAAAACATTTCATGTCACCTTATGTTTTTCTGCTAAACAATTTTGTTTAACCCTAAATTTAGAAGTACCAGAATGGTCTCCGGCGGGGATAATTTCACCTACAGTATTAAAACTTGGATTGTAGATAACAAGCTATGGATTGGATTGGATTTATTCAGTGTAAAAACCAAGTATAGCCACAAAAGTCAAGAAGAAGACTTATTTCCAGTGGGATCTTTCTGGTGGTGATTGGACAGTACACCGGGAGACAATCCCCTACTCTTTTCCGAAGAGTGTACTGCGTTCTTTAACACTTTTTTTAATGAAAATCGCTCCCAATCAAGCAATTTAATTTTATGTTCCTTATGTTTTCTGCTAAATGATTTGTTTTTGGCCCCCGGAAATTATAGTAGTCTCAGAAATACCGGCATGGTGTCTGAAGGGTAATAGTTTCATCCTGTAGTAAGAATATGTAATTATTGTATCTATATTATGCGGCTGTTGGGTGTTGATGTGCACCTAAAATACTATATCAGGAAACTCTCAATACAGTACACAACAAAAATATTGATTTTCAATTTTTTTTATGAAAAAAATAATAAGCGTGAATAAAAATGTTTTTGTTATCAGTGTATCAAACCAGTTACAAACAAGAATCTTCAAAGTATCGGTATTAGAACTGAGATTTCAGGTAAATTTGTACAAAGAACTACAAAAATGAAATTTTCACTAATAGAGGGCAGCAGACAATGACATGTTTAATGGTGAATATCTCCGTTACTATTCATTTTTTTATATTAGTGTATTGGAAAAAAATATTCAGTGCATTATTTCCTTTCCAATGATACCAAATAATGATATGTTTGACTACAGTAGATGTGTCCGCCATCTTGTTTTCCAAGATGGCGGCCAGTTAACCTTCTCAAAATAATTGGCACCAACATTTTTCTTGTTCAGCCGCCGATTTGATTGTGTGTTGTTCTATAATGGCTTTTTAAAGAAACTCCTTTGTTTTAACAAAAAAATTGTTTGGTCAAGTTAATGAATTTTAACATGACTCCATAAAGAAGAAGATTAGATTTTGGTACAATGTGGATTCATGGTACTGTACCTGTCTCTTATACACATCTAGATGTGTATAAGAGACAGTACAGTAGCCTAAATATAATTTATTTTAACAAATATTTTGTCCTCTTCCTAAGCATTCATCACATAAATCATTTTGATATTATTTTACACCAAAAAACAAAAAAATCACTCAGTAAAACCGATGACTGTCAATCATCACTTGTTTAGTTTGATTCGTTTCCATTAAATAACTTATTATTGTCTTTAGGGCTATAGCATTTTAAGTAGTGTGTTGCATTGTCGTATAAAGCATTATGATAGGAACAATAAAAGTGTTAGCCCACGCCCTTGGAAAAGCGTACAATTGCAAAATGCTGTATATGACACTAAAAAAGTAAAAAAAAGAAATACACAAGAAAATCCAATGATGTGTTGCATTGTCGTATAAAGCATTATGATAGGAACAATGAAAGTGTTATCCCTTTGAAAAGCATACAGTTGCAAAATATATGACGCTAAAAAAGAAATATACACAAGAAAATCCGATAATAATCATTTACTTTTGATACAGTACCTTTGAATAAGGCCAAGTGGTCCTTGGATGTTTTACATCAGAATTTTTTTTTTTTTAAGAGGTATTCTTTTTGTTTTTAATATTATGATTATTAATTACTCATATAATTAATATATACTGTAATTGCAATTTTAAATGTAGGCCTATAGGGTAATCATCATAAATATTAATAATATACAATATCCCTATTAAATATGAACTCTGAAAAACTGGAAAAAAGCAAGAGAAAGAAAAGAAAAATGAAAATTTATCATTATTTATCAATATTTTTATTTTTTATTTGTATAATTGTAATGGTCATAATTAGCAAAGCCTGTTGATGCAAATAGGCCTTGGAGTATTGGGGCCGAGTTGACTTGGTGCAGAATTGACTTCTTGGGGCAAAATTAACTTGGGGCCGAGTTGACTTGGGGCAAGGTTGACCTGTTCCCACGTAAATATATCAAATAAATTCTGGTTAAAGTAAGTTAACATACTTCTCAAGTTCGTAAAATGCATTTCCATAACTATATTGTCTTCAGATTTCCGTAGTACAGTAAATTAAAAATTTCCTTAGCACCACCTAATACTGTAATAATGTGCACGATATAAGCATGGAGTTATTTTGAAATTGGGCCCAATCGTCTTTGGGCCGATTGTCTGTAATTCGATGTAGAATTTCAAACAAACGGGACAGGGTGAAACTTTTCAGGCCACTTTTTCCTTAGTTTTCACAATTTGTCAGTAATCCGACAAGTACAGGTACAGGTATGAGTTGTCTAGGGACAATGTAACCAAAGATCCTGATGGAAAAGTCATTTGTTCTGGATTTTAGACCTATTTATTTATGGGTCTAGGACTATGATAAATTTTCGTAGTATTTTTTGTCTATTTCCATACGTCCGTAATTAGGCAAAATTTTCGTAGAAAATAGGCCTAAGATGTCCGGCAATGGCAATAAAATTTTCACATTTCAAATATTTGAAGTTAATTTCAACAACTGCCATGTAAATGGTACTTTTAAATAATAATTTGAAAGGGCATTTCTGGAAAAGGGGGATTCTTTCGAACCCCTCGAATCCCCGGGCTGCGGGCTTGACGAGAGTATAGTTTAAAAAAAAAATTACAAATAGTCTTATTTCTAGCTCATTGTCACAATGATTCAATAATATATTTAATGATAGAAATACATGTGTACAAGTTCTGTACTGTAGCAAATTTACTTACGTTTAATAAGAACGGCAAAAATTATAAAAAAAACACCTATCACGAACGTCAAACCTCCCTGTCTTAAACTGCTTACAAAAATTCATTCATCCAATTCCTAGATTCTTCATGTGCGTTGAGTTGCCGTCGATTTGATTGTGTGTTGTTCTGTAATGGCTTTTTAAAGAAACTCCTTTGTTTTAACAAAAAAATTGTTTGGTCAAGTTAATGTATTTTAACATGACTCTATAAAGAAGATGATTAGATTTTGGTAGAACATGGATTCATGGTACAGTACATTCATAACTTGTCAACAAAAGGAAAATCAGTGCCGTGGTGAGCTTGGGCACTGCAGCTTTGGCTGGCGCTAATTTCGAGTGCTGAAAGTTGAACCCGCATTAAAATACATTTAACCAGAATCAATAAGTTTACGTGACCGATAATTCAAGTTTATTAAAGCATGACTATATGCATGCATTATTTATTTCATGTAAATATGTCGTTTACTGATTTGTTTATGGTGCCATAAATACCATATATCCACTTCCTTTTGTGTTTAAACTGTTTATTAAATTATTATTAGGCCTCTTCTTAGACCCTAGCCCTATATTCATTGATAGCTAAAGGCTCTAATAGGCTAGTATTGTCCATCCCTTGTCTTGGACCAGTACTACCGGTATTTTTTTTTTTTCTTTTTGGAGAGGCCTAAATTAGTGATTTTTGACACTAAAAACATATTTTAATTCTGATTCTTAGCTTCCAGGTGTCCTGTTTGCAGTCAAGAATGTCGTCTCGCCAGCGACGTCATTGATGATTACTTCATTATATCCGCTGCTGCCAAGTCAGATGCGCCAAAAGAGACCCTATGTACAAGTTGCGAAGACCGTGCAGATGCATCGTCATATTGCCAAGACTGTCAGGAATGGCTTTGCGACGCATGCGTCCAAGCGCACTATCGTGTGCGTGTCACCAAGGACCACATCATTAGCCGTAAAACAGATGCTGAAAGGGCGTTGGCGCGGGTCGGTGACCGTCCCCTCTTCTGCCCAAATCACAAGCAGGAACAACTGCAACTATATTGTGAAACATGCGACAGATTAACATGTAGGGACTGCCAACTGCTACACCATAAGGAGCACAGGTATTGTCATGATTAATGTTGTTTTGGGAATGTCTTTAAATATTGTTTTAAAGTTAATTTAAAAATTGATAAATAACTTATATTAAATATATGTTTTCAAATATTTTTACCTTACTGAATTTAACATTTAAACCAGCATTGTAATTTGTATTGCAACATGTTCTTTTTTCCCCTTGCTTGGAGGTATTGAATTGAATTACTGATACTGTAAATGAGTGATTTAGGTGTAGGCATTTAGGTTTTTACTATCTTTTATAAATACAGTAATGTACAGGTGCCTGCTAAATGCATCCGAGAAGAACATGTCTCCCTCCAATTAAAGACCACTTTAGGGAGAAAGGTTTTCATATTTAGAACATTAATCATTTCAAAGATAAACATGGTGTTCAGGGCCAAAAAAAAAAAAAAAATTGGCCTTTAATTGGAGGGTCTTAGACAAGATAGAACTGATATTTAAATGCATGTTTCCCTAGATTGAATTGGAACAAAGCATAAATCTTCCAAAAATGGGCTTCTGTTCTAGGCTAATTTTGCAAAGTAAAGAGGTGGGGGCCTTCTTTTCAGAATGAATGCTGTAGATTTTGGAATTACTACTAAAAAACAATAAATAGGGCCCCTGTAACAACAGTCTGTATCACAGAGTCTATTAACCGACATTAAGTCACCAAAACTATTGTGTAAACCAACTGTGTTTTTAAAATTTATTTCTTTGAAATTCATGTACAGTGATATGTACGGTATTCCACTCCCATGGGCTTCTTTTTGAGATGGGCTTGTTTTTGAGGCTACTTTGGCAAACTAAAGAGAGGCTACAATTCAAGCTTCTTCTCGAGATTAAGCCCACCGGGCTTCTAATTCGAGGTTTGACGGTATTACAAAATTACAAAAATACATTTTTATACTGTTTTCTTTCTCAATCTTTATACAGTATAAATAACTTATATCTTGTATTAGATATCAATTTGTGAGTGAAGCCTCAGCACGCCACAAGTCATCACTAAAGGTCCTCCTGAATAAACTAGCTGGAAAGCAGGTGTCAATTACGCAAACAAAAGACTTGATCAATCAGAAGATTAATGATGTTAGCAAGAAGCAAGACCACATGATACGCAATATACAAAACCTAACGTCAAAAGTTATACTTGAAATCAATGAGACTTCAAGAAGGAACATTGCTGAATTGACATCACACTGCGATAAAAAGCGATCATTTTTATCAACTCAAATGCATGAGGCCGTGAAACTTGAGAAAATTTTGCGACATTGTCACCAATTTACATCACTTGCTGTCCAGTCGTCGAGTAACATTGCTTTATTACAAACAAAGAAACAGATTATTAAACAATTGATTCTTGTTTTAAGGACTGGATGCACGAGACACCCGGTAACTGGCCTGGATATTAATTATGTTGTTAACGTGAACAATCAGTCACTTGCGCAGCTGAAAAACTTGGGGACATTGGTAGTGAAAGAGCAGCAAGAAAATCAGTCTGCAGCTACTGCACCGAACCCACATTTGAAACCGCAGCCGCATTTCAGTCTTCAGCAGCCGCCAGGGCACTCTCATAACAACCGTGGTTCTTATCCTATGCAGGCGGTTGCCCCCAACATTCATATGCACAGGCCGGTAGTTACAACGTTACCTCAGACTTCATCCAACATGCTGGCGTCGCAGAAGCACCAGCCTAACTTGAGATACGCAGGCAACAACCTTGTTCTCGGTACGCAGAATTCAAATCTTTACAGGGAGCGTGTGGAAAATTGTTTAAAAACCAAGGAAAGGTTAAAGATACTGTCGTCCATGGCACCGGCACAAGGTACTATTACAAATTCATCCTCACCGGGACCATCAAGCTCATCTGCCTCAGGTAGTCCGAATGCACCTTTAATTGAACCAAAGAAAGAACCTGTGTCTCCAGGAGAATCACGGCCACCAAGTAAAGAGCATCACACAAAGTAAGAATTTGTACTTTTAATAATATGGCAGCAACACCTAAATATGTGGACCCAATGACCAGGGAAACAAAGTGCTTCGTAACCTAATGTAAATGCTCTGTATTAAGTACCAAGTGACAAAAACAAAAATAAAATCAAAATTAGAATCAGAAAGTAATGTTTTATTTGACTTTGCAGATGTGTTGTAATACAATAATATATAACATATCGTAAAAAAGCACAAATTTATAAATGAATACTATAGTTCATTTTTCACATACTACAAAGCCAAGTGATACCGTAAATAATAATAGTGAGCTTACAATTTGCATGACACGTAAAGCTAAAACGGATTCACTTGTGACTGTCATGCACAACATAGATTCGGGCCAAACTGTGCTCTAGGATCCATGCGACAATGAGAACTCATCATTCTCTGCACAGATGACTAAAGTGACGTCATTACGTTCTGCATGTCCTACAGTACCAGTGTTGTGCAAACGAACGCTCCCTAATCGTTATGCAAACCAAGCCTTGACATCTGACCTATATTATGGAGCTGGGTTGAAATTGTCATTCAGTTTAAATATGTTTTTAATTATAAATGCACTTTATACAGTAAATCCATTATTATTATTATTAAGGAGTTTTCGATTGCACGACGACGGTAGGACGTAGAACGTAATGACGTCATTAAAAGTCGTCTGCGCATGCAAGAACTTTAAGGTCACCTCGTCGAGCAGATTCTGGAACGCAATTTGGCCAAATCTACGTATGCAGAGAACGTAGGACGCCAGGTAGGACGGTCACGCATGAGTGATTCCGTTCTAGCGCCGCGTCGTCGCACAAATCAAAAGCTCCCTAGTATTGATTGTCTACTATTACAAATTTTTAATTTTTTATATGATTTCACATATTTCTAGTGACAACAGCGTCGCTTTTGTCCCCATTCGCATCGAGAATGTCGTAAGTCTTCATAAAGAAGAAAGTGTGAAATTAAAAGATGAAGTGATTAAGGATGAAGTACTGCCATCATGCGCTGTAGCTGGAAAACACGGCGGTCAAATGGCAGAATCCTCGAGTTCTACTGCTGTAACGAGTAACTCTAGTGTTGAGCAGCCCTCCTTTAGTTTTAACAGCACTATTGATGTAAGTGTCCTTTGGGGTCGTTAACAATTATCAGCAAGTGTACACACAGTACGCTGGCGGGGTGAGGGGTAGACAAATTTGTACAATGTTTCATATTTATAATAATTTGGTTTCAAAATAACATGCAGTACCGGTATTTAAAGTACTACAATTTTATGACCAAATATGCAACTATAATTAGATATTTTTATACAACCAAATATAATTACTTAGTTAACTTTTAAAAAATGGAGAATGTTTTTGCAAAATCAACATTTTTTATGACTGTGCACTTTCAGAGGGAAGAGAGGGGGTAACTGAAAAAGAGTACTGTTTTGTGCACTTGCGAAAATGTTGATTAAAGACCCTTAAAGTAAAAACATAAATAATAAATAGGCCTACATGTATGTATAAATTCTGTGCATTTAGATATTCTGTCTGTTTTGTGTAAATAAATACATGTAGTTAGAATATATAATAATTTGGATTTTATAGTTTTAATTAACATTTACATATATATAGAATACAGAGACAATATAGATATAGGCCTACAGTATGTATACAGTATATGTATGTTCCAAAACATACATATATATAGAATACAGAGACAATATAGATATAGACCTACAGTATGTATACAGAAACCGAAAGGTCCACTGATTAATCTCAGATAAGAAATTATAATATATACAGGAAATTCCTGATGATGACATAATTAATGTCGAAATATTGAATCCCAACACGATGGCGTGTATTTCAATACTTGGAGTATGTATTATACTTTCGTATGTATACAGTATATGTATGTTCCAAAACATAAATATAAGTTATAGAATGAAAAATAAAATTATATTTGGAAAAAGGCCACCACATGAAGCGAAACTTTGAAACGTGGCACCTTACAAATGAAGATATAATTAAAAATTATATTTTAATGTTTGATAAATTACTTTGTATATTTAAGCAAGTTATAAGCTTTTAATTGAAAATTACAAAGATGAAATTTATATTGTCATTAATAATAATATTTTTGTTGTAAAAATTTGATTAATATAGCAAAAACTGATTTGTTTAGCAGCATAATAATGGAAATAATATTGTTCGAATTTACTCAAGTAAGTGTTTTAAAATTTAGGCAGTGGCTATTGTTACATCATTCTTGAACCTATTCCTAATTAAATTCTGATTGGATGTTATTGTATGTGTGCATTGCATAATAGGACAATATAACATCTAATCAGAATTAGGAATTTGCTTTAAGACTGGCGTGACAAATTTTAGTTTACTAAGTCGTTTTCTTTATTCTGCAGTCAATTCTTGCAACCAAGCCAGCGTATGTATCATCTGCTAGCCCTGATGACGAAAGTTTGCCACCGTCGTCATCAAAGGATCACAATGACCCAAATGAGGACTGGTGTGCTGTGTGTAAGAATGGAGGAGACTTGCTGTGCTGTGACAGCTGCCCTCGTGTGTTTCACCTCAACTGCCACATTCCTATTCTTCCAAATACACCAAGGTACAACACATTATAATACAAAGTTACAGTATACAATACAATATACAGTTAAACTTTATCGATGTACAAATCATGCATAGATATTTAGGTGGTAATAGACCAAATTAGTTACCAAAACAAAGCTGCTCTAGTGGGTATTACATCAAAACATTATCTGTAGAATTTATGTGGCTGACGGCCGTTGGCGCAGTACTTAAGTCAATTCTATAGAGTCATTTAGCTGATTTGATTCTTTCTAATTGAAGTAAACATATACTCGTTTCATCTTTTTATATACAGTAAATGTCAGTCGAATATTGGACCATAAATGTATTTGACAAAGTAAAAGTACTTTGTAAAAAATGAGGCTGTGTTTTAGCAAACTATATATATATATATATATATATATATATAATCTATGATTTAACAATAAAAATTGTGCTGTTGTGGACCACACATGACAGCCATATACCCTACTGTATTCATTGTGATTTCGTGGCACAGGAAAGTAAATAGTGCTTAGTAACTGCAAGGAAAAAGCGCTATATGGATGGATGGATAGATTTATTTATTTATTTTATTTTATACTTAAGTATGAAGAAGACTTAATTCCAGTGGGGTTGTTATTTCCAGTGGGGTCCTTCTGGTGGTGATTGGGCAGTACACTGCGTTCTTTAACGTGCACATGGGCCATAATGCGCTATCGTAAATTGCATTTCTGTCCTCTAGCTGAAGCACAAGGAGAACAGTGATGGGAATAGAACCGGGGACCTAGAGATCTCCTAGGTTCAGCGCATACCACCAGCTTAGCCGACTGAGCTATTCTGCTATAATAGTAACAAGGAAGCTGTGGCCCCATACATTGGCATCTGGCTTTTCATGGTTAACAAACTTTTGAATTTGAATGCTTTTTTTTGACAGCGATGCATTTATTTGCACCCTATGTAAGGATGTTGGAGAAGAGGTTCTCGAGGGTGGTCGGAAACGCAAGATATCAGCAGACTTCTCGGAGAGGGATCAAAAGGTAAGCTGGTATATCAGTGAAGTCTTCATTATGTTAACTTATAAAACCATCCTGTAAAATCTAAAATTTAAATTTCAGAAGAAATTTGGAAAAGTGCATTTGAAAGTATCCAATAATTATAGTTTGCTTACCAATTCAAGACCACCTTTATGGCCTAAACATTTTAGGTGGTCTTGGAATTCAGTCTCCAGTTAGAGGTAAAAGATTAAAAATTGTTAGTTGGTACTTTCAAAAAGTGGTCTTGAATTAAAGTGGTCACAGAATTGTAGGTGGTCTCAAATTTGAGGGCGAAATGTATTTTATATTAATGCTTCTATCCACAAACAAAGGCTCATCCTTGAGTTGAAAGAACATGCCACTACGGTAATCATACCATTTACAAACGTTACTGGTAGTTGTTAAAGTTTCTGCTTGCTCAGTTGTCAACAATACCCTTTATATTCCCTATTGTAAGTTCTCATATTGTTTCGAAGTGACCTTTACTCAGCCATGTGAATAACGTTTGTGTCTATCATTTCCAGGTGTGCGAACGTATATTACTGGAACTTTTCTGCCATCCGTCAAGTTTCCCATTTCATGAGCCTGTTGACAGATCGGTGAGCTTGCGTTTACATTTTCGCACAGTGACTATAGAGTTGACATCTTGTTTATAGGCTTGCCAGTGGTGGCTTTAGGATATACATCTGGGGAGAGTCTGACAGTCTCCAACAGAGAGACAGCAGGTCTATGAAGAAACTGGTGGGATCCAGGATGCTAATCTACCAGGCACCTTGTATAAGCACTACAAAATTATACCTAAAGAAAGAACACGTTTTGGACTAATAGCAGACAGGGAACAAGGGATTTAGCTTGTTCAACTTCACTGCCCTCTGGGGTTTCTGCCACAGGCTATGAATACTACAGTAATAATAATATTCCTGGGGTATCCTCAATACATATTTTATTGCAGCCAGATAGAGTTGCGATTGCTGCAAGCCAGAATGTTTATCCACATCAACCCCACTGTGGTTAGGGATATATTTTACTACACTGAAATTATATGTGGGCCAGATTAAAATTGCATATAGGTAAAATTTTGTGTTGATTCCACCATTTGAGATCTCTATAATAAATTCGTAGATGCTGTTCTGAAGTATATAGAAAATTTTAAAGATTTTTCTGAATTGTTTTGTTTAGGTTCCAAACTATTATAAGGTGATCAGTAAGCCGATGGAGTTGGTGACAATAAAAGAGAAGCTGAAGCCATCTTCAACCCAACAATATGAGTCTCTAGATGAATTTATAAGTGATGTGAAATTAATGTTTAGTAATTGCTTACTTTTCAATGGGGTAAGTATACTTTAAATTATTTTTTATATAATAAAGAAGGCCAACTCAGACAGCATCTTACGGCGCATACAGACGCGATCTATCGTCGGAAACAGTCTTTAGGTGGTCGTGAGGATGTTAAACTTTTCTACGACCTGACTTCCCCCGATGCAAACCTATCGCGTCAGGGTATAACTCACACAGGCTCGACGTGACATCAGATCTCGTTGGGATGCGTTGTACAACACTGTCTGAGTTGGCCTTTATGGGTCACCAAAATATTTTGGTTGGTTGTGAAGCATTGACAGAAATCAGCAAAATCAGTTTGTTCACTTCTGTTCCTTAATATTAGGCACTATAATTTGAAACATTCACTTTGTAAACAGTGAAGCCATCAATCTACACACTTCATTGTTGATTTGCAGTGATATTACAAAGTACAAAGCAGCTACAATCATCATTGTACATTGTGATTTTGTCGTTATATTTATTTTTGTTTATGCTTTGTTTACTTATTTTAATATATTTAAAATCCCAGTCTCAAAATCGTGCACTAGGGCTAGCTCTCTGAATTAGGAGTACGCAAATAAGGGGTCACTGGGTCAGTATTTATGTCTGTTAATTGGGCCGCCAATCTAAAGATTTATGGAACACTGCACTAACAACAGTACTACCAGTACTTTTAATCAACATGATAACTTCATTTGACACCGCATGGTTTTTGCATAATCAGAAAAAAGTAGTTTTAGTTAGAATTCATCCCAGGATCCTCTGATGAATATGGCCACTGGAACTGAAACATTAACAAGAACTTATTTTTTATCGGTTTTGATTACAGGAAACATCAGATATCGGTCGTGTTGCCAGAAACATCGAGCGATTCTTTCTGAAACAATTGAAAAAGTTTTTCCCGGATTATACAGAAGATCTGTCAAGTAATTACCAAGAGGATCGGTTCAACAAACGCAAACGGCGCCCTCAAGATATTCTCCACATTAAGTAAACTGTATTAATTGCCTGTTTCATTGAAAGTTCATAACTTGTCCGATCCTCTTATTATAAATAAGGCATGCCATCCCAAAACGTACTGTCGCTATATGTTAAACAGCGTATCTAGGAGTCTTGAAAAGTGGGGGTGGGGGGCTTGAGTGTGGTGCGAAGGTGGAGTGGGTGTGTAAAGGGCTCGAATATTAAGTGAGGGGGTGATAGGTGAGTAATTAGCATACGAAATGTGGCGGTATTAGTACAAGGAAGCCATTATACTTTTACTTGTAATTCTATAAATAGTAAGTCAATTCTAGTGAATGACTCGTCATTTTAAAGCTCTTAATATGGATTATATGAATACGCTAAAAAGTCAATTTCCATTTTTTGGCCATTGATGCTGGTTTTGGGATGGCATGCCCCAAATAAGCAATTATATATTTTAATTAAAGTAAATTATAAACAATTCATTTAAAGCTTCTATGACTACTTAATTTCTGATGTAATTGTAATTCAATCAATCAATTGATTTATGTTTTTCACCAAAAGTGCAGAACTAACGTTTGTAAATTTAAATTAGCTTTCAGGTAAAGAACATTCTTATTGTTGATGCAAAAATGAACAAAAGTCTTTGGGGAATTAAATTTAAATATAATCAGGTGTTTAACTACCAATTGATTAGATAAATATGACTAAAACTACAGGGGAGGTAATCTCTATGTTGAACTCTTTTGTATAAGTATAGTCATTTGCAGCTACTGGTATGACATAGTAAAACTATGGATCTTTCTGCTAAGCCTGGATATTGTTAAGGTCCCACAAAAAAAGAATTTTATTCATATGTAAACATGAGTTTGTAGGACACGCATATATTCCTGGCCTTGTTCTCATTAGTCAGGTACTTAGATTGATTGGCACTCTGGAACAGTCCATTTCAAAGCTGGTAACCACTGCTTGTTAGTATTCTGTTGCAGTTGATGACTGATAATGCGAATGTTTAGTTTCTCTGCGTAATAGCCTTTTGTTGAAGTTAATTTAATTTACCTGTAATTTAATTTTTTATTTTTTTAGTACTGTATGTGTATAAAGTTCTGTTCATTTCTAAAGTTAACCTATTTATACATTACTGTTTATTATCAAACAAAAGCATATTACAGTAGTATTATTATAAAGTATAGCATATCCTGCCTGGTTTCAATAATGGTTTTGTTTTATAAATTTAAAAAAAAAATTGCTCTGAACTGAAGTTCAGGTCATTGTAGGCTGATGTTTCCCTCAAATTAAAAACATTGTGTTATCTTCCTAGCTTAATCCTTTTCTTTAAAATCATTAAGGTTACAATATTTATTTTTTTTTATACCGCCATGCTAAAATCCTTTAGCACTTATGGTCATCAACATGTTAATCAATCTATCAGGACATATTCTCTGCTCCAACATAGTGGTCACTAAATGCTTTTATAAACCCTGTAGTACTAGAGAAAATAAGTCATCTTGCCTCATCAGTACAATGGAAAAGTCCAATTCAGCTAGAGCACAATAACTCAATGCATTGAAAGGAAAATATAATAGATTTAGATTTTTATATAAAATAAAGAAAATTGGGCATATTTTGTGCCAAGATGGCTCTTAGAACTTGAAGGGTTAAATGTATAGAATATTTTGAGATATGATTTATGCCATTTCTCTTTCAGGAGTGGGACCACTTGGAAATAATGTAACTATTCAATTGACCCCTGAAGTAATATGTATATTTTTGTGTATGATGTTGTTTTAGGTGTGCTACTTATAGTGTATGTTTCCAAATACATGTATGTAATGCAGGTTTTTTAGTTTTTTAATTAGTTAATGTTAATGTGACAATTTAAAAATTGTTTAATATTAGATGCCATTCAGGATTACAGCTCCAAATGTGAGATGGAAGGCCCAATGTGATATACACGACTTGATATTTAAATATGAGGTACACATTGTGTGAGAAGCATAATGAGATGTGAGAAACATATTGAGATGTGAGAAACTAAATTCAATTGTGAAACACAAATTGAGATGCAAGACTCTGATCCAAATGCAAGATGTACTTTGAGATACAAATATCTCTAGATTCAGATGTGAAAATCGCATCATGGAGGAATAACTTGATCACATTGAGCTGTGAGATGCGAGACTCTGAATCCAAATGCGGGATGTAATTTAAGATACAAAAATCTCTAGATTCAGATGTGAAAATCGCATCATGGAGGAATAACTTGATCACATTGAGTTGTGAGATGCGAGACTGAATCCAAATGCGAGATGTACTTTTAAGATACAAAACTCTAGATCCAGATGTGAAAATAACATGATCCCATTGAGATTTGAGGTGCGAGACTCAGAATCCAAATGCAAGATGTAGTTTGAGATTAAAAAAACTGCAGACCCAGATGTGAAAATCACACCATGGAGGAGTAACATATCACAGTGAAATTTGATGTGAGACTCTGAATCTAAATGCGAGATGTACAAAACTCCCAGATGTGAAAATCACATCATGGAGTAATAACATAATCACATTGAGTTGTGAGACAACTAAATCCAAATGTGAGATGTGTGTTGAGTTAAGACTTGTATACATATCTAAGATTCATGCAGAAATGTAAAAACCCTACCATAGGTCCAAATGCGAAATACATATTTTAATAGGAAAATCTGTGAGATATGTGTCCATATTTAGATGCTATTTTGTTGTGAACAATTGAAAAAGGTGAATATGTATTTTGAACTAAAAGTTCTGAATGAAATGAAATTGTTGACAGAGTAGTAATTTATTCATCTACCGATTAAATAATTTATATTCTGTTAACAGTATAGTAAGTATACCTTGTTTTGCGAACCTACTGGTAATAAATATAAAATAAAACTTTCATTATTGACCTGCTAACACACTTTCATCTCCCCTACCCCTGAAAAACAGGGAGATAAGATATAAGCAGCCCTCTATTAATATATTTTCAACCTTTTTTTTTTTTTTATTTTTTTTTTATTTCATAAAATTCTAAGCCTAGATCATTTTGGAAGACTCATTTCCCACCTTCCCCCCTCCAGATATAAGAGACAGTATGAATACCATTCTCTAAACAAGGTATAAAGCTAATGTTGTTTGTCCTTAATGATTGAGATTTGTGAATGTGTTCTCTCTCTGTTCAACTAAAAATACTTTCTCATTATTTAAATTTCAGTACTTTGTATTTTTAGCCAGTTAATGAACTCTAAGCAAAAAATCTAAATCAACAAACACTGAATTGTTTTCAATTTATTTTTGTCTCGTTGGAAATCTTAATATAAGCTAGCATATTTTTTTTTTATTTTAGCACAGGAAGTATATCTGATAAATTTTACAAATGGTAAACTAATTTGTTGAAATTCTGTTTCGTATTAATAAGAGATGTCTGTTATGAATATGTATTTGATAATTTAAGTTTATGAATTATAATTGGCTGTCTGTAAATAATAGTGAAAATTAAATTTCATACAAGTAATAATAGTTTTAAAAATTTGATTGTTATGATATCAATAATCGGTTATTTATAACATTGTATTCATGAATGCAATTTTGTTTACTAATTATTTTGCAAGATATAGATTTATTTAGGTATGTTGTTTGATCCTAATGATTTCATTACGATTAACCTCATTGGTTAAAGTATATATTGTTGAAAAAAGTCCTTGTTCTGTATATAGGCAGATTCAGAGTGGATCTTTGGGGCTTTGTGCCCCATTATGACTCGTATAACAGATTCCTACACTAAAGCCTGCCTCTACTCTGTTTCCTGTGTGGAAACAATTTATTGTAGCCAATCACAAAACAATAGGTCAGGATGTTGACTTTTTTTGTTTAATGGGCTTATAATACATACGTTTAGATTTGCGATGCAAGACTCTTCATTCAGATGTTAGATAAATATTAGGAGAATCTACAACCGATTGTTAAATAAACACTGAAATGTCATCCACATTTTGAAAAATGTCTGATTTCTCATACATCTTAAACTACATTTACTCTAGCCTCTTGAGACCCGACATTAATATATTCAACAAATCATTGTTTTTAAGGCTGAAATAGGACATTTGTATCCTATTTAAGAAGGTATGCACATTTTTTTCTGGCAAGGGGTTTTCGAGATACAGTTCAGTATGGCAACAAACAATAAAAAAATAAAAGGAATAGCGCCCTCAATCAGGCCAAATAAAAATAAAAACCCACAGTACTCTTGTTTAGCAACTACTCAACTTGCATTTCATTTCATAATGACATGGTAAATAAATCCAACTAGAGAGACACCTTTTCTGGAACATCAGACTTTTTCCAGCCAGTTAGTGTTAACATAGGGTCTGTGGTGTTAATAACAACAACATGACCTTGACCCAAACAAAGGGCATCATAATTTATGAGGCCACCAGGACCCAAGAGGCTAGACACGATAAAAATGGGTTTATACGACAGTACTGATCTTGTCATTTCGTGTCTAGTGTACGTCGTACGTACTAGTGCGACGTTCCGCAAACTATGGTCCGCTCGGCCCAAATTTGGGCCGCGAAACATTTTTGGAGGGCCGCGACTTAAGCCGTCTGGAAATTGAAAAAAAAGAAAAAAGAAACGTTTTATCATGGAGAAAATAGTTTTTAATAAAGCCGCTTCATTGTTACAGCGAATGCGTCGCTTGCACACGCTGCTAAAGTGCCAGATGATGCGTGCTATTTGAGTTATACATAAACTGTTTTTGTGTCTATGCCCCCTCGGGAGCCTTTATATGTATATTTGTTCCTGATAGTTCTAGTATGCAACATTATTTTCTATAAATAAATGTAAATATACCTTGTTTAAGCATTAAATACATGTCAAGCGCGGATCCAGAGTTTACCTTGGCTATCGCACAGATGGGTTCCCATATTGGGAGAGTCATGAGAAGAGAGCTAGTTTGTTTTGTCGCTGGAAGATAAATTTTAAATATTCGAAAAGTTTTTGTTTTCTAGATTCTTTGAATTACACTTCGTGCATTATAAGACGTATTATTGAATGCACTTTGAATTCATAGTTTTTCCCTACTTTGCTATGGACAATTAAATGATGATGAAGAAGATGTTACGGTTGGGAATTTGGAGACATTATCGTCATCGTCAAATGTTCAATGAACACAGTCGGACAATAGATGATTTATGATATCTGTTTTGTATAGAAAGTAATCTGAAACCCATAAAATATCAGTTCAGGCATTCATTCATCTGTCTGTGGAAAATATAACATATGAATCATACAAAATAAAAAGAATTCAAATAAAATTAAAAATATGTAAAAAACATCTACACTAAATCAAAATGGAATATTCACTGCCTGTTGGATCCCAGTTTTAGTATTGCAGGGGTTCTGAAGGCTTTACAGTATAACCAATCCCCGTATTTCTGATAGATTGCTGATTAAAATGTAAAATATTTA